CAACTTTTTGAAGGCTATAGGTAGGCCTAAGTAAAATGTTTTTAATTGTATACCAGTTTAACGTAGAATATTATTTATGATTTTAACTTTATTGAAAAGTGCCAAAATACTATAATTAAATAAAAGTTAATTACAAATTTTCATAAAGCCAACTTTGAGGTCATGAGACAAGATTTATTAATAATGAATTAAATTAATGAGGTAAAAGGTTATTTGTAACAGATTTGGGAATTGTTTTAAAATAAATTGCTTTTAATCGAGATAAGTCTGTTCCTAAAAAGAGGAAAAGGAAAACAGGGAGAATCAAATGTAATCGGCTTACTAAAGAAATAAATGTGAAACGAAGATAGGTGCTTTGAGTTTAAGAAGTTTAAAATGATAGGTTGGAGGGCTTACAGACCAATAGGATAGCAAGGTATTTTATAAATACAAAAGAAACATAGGAAATCCAAAGGGCTTATGGAAAACTAACAGCGAGGATTTTTTAAGTATGTTAAAGGTAGAGCAAAATGCTAAAATGATGATTCAGTGGATGCCTTAAGAAAATGTAACATTTATTACATTTAAAAAAAAAATCCAAAATAATTATAGAAATGTTTTAAAAAATACAGAAATGTTTACTGTTAGTATGTTTTACTGAAAAATTTTGCCTGTAAATATTCAATACATTTAGTCCAGTCTGTGGGACTCATGGCTAAAAACTTTTACCCATCATTTTGGTTTTGCGTAATTTATGCATGAAGGTACATCCAAAATATGGAAGGATGGTTAGCTAACACTTGCTCACATTAGTTGCCTCTCCCTACCTATATTTCCAACTGAAGAATAAGTGATGTTATATCCACCCTGTGCTTTTTCTTCTAATTTTGTATTTGGTTGGAATGGAGATTCTTGTTTATATAAAGTATGTTTCACATTGTGTATTTGAAACTACCAAGAATATGGTTAACTATTTGTTAATAAAAACAGCTTTTGGCCCTGCTAAAATGGAACAGCTAAACCCTGCTTGTTGCTAGATGACAATGAAAAGAAATCCATACATGTATGCATACAATGCTGAACTGACTTTAACTCTTACACATAGATGGCCAAATGTAATGTTGAAGCAAATAATAGGCTTAACCAGATAAATCTCAATTTATAGTAAGTTAGACCTTACTGTTGACTAAAAATAAAAAGAATTTATCATTTCATCAATCATAGCATTAGTAATAATTTTCTCTCTTTGCCAAAAGATGCATTACTCTGTAATATAATATAGCAAGGTTTTTCAGAATATTTTTTTCTGAAGGGAAGATGGTATTTGGTGATTGGTGTGGGGCATTCTAGTGTCAAAGACGCAGTCATAACATATCTTTAAACATAGTATGGTTGTGTTTGCTAAGTTATTTTTTTAAACAATTCAATGTCTTAATGGCCAGAGCCTCTGAATCTTAATGTTCTATCATTTGTTGCCTTTTAATAGAATGTAAGTTTGCAGTCTGAAATAAACATCAAAAGTGTTGTATTTCAAATTTTAATTAGAATATGATGGTTTAATAAAATAGTACATGTTTTATGTGTATCTAGCTTTTTAACATCAAATCTCTTATTTAAAAATAAAACTTTCATGGAAAGCAAACTCTTGTATACATAATATGAAAATAGTATAACCACATTTTATTGTTTATTGAAGGTAAAAGTATTGAGGCTTCTTGTATGTACCAATATTATAAACTTGTATGAAAAATTTTTCCTTTATTTTTTATATTTTAGTTTCAAATTACTCCAAACTAAGATCTTCCTCTATTATATCTCTTCACTCCAATCTAAATATAAATAGATTTTCAGGTAAACTCTAAGACTGTAAAATAATGTTTTTGTGTGTGTGTGTTTCTTTGATACTTTATATCACTTTCAAAAGTACAACTTCATAATGTTTAAATAAAGTATTTATTTTGTGAAATGAAATAATTGTGTAATGTATCTTTATACTTTGCTTGATTTATTGGGATGTTTTGTATAATTTTTTCCAAATTATATAAGTAGTCAGATGTAGGTTGTGTTAAAAAGTGTTTCTGCTGGTCAACACAAATGTAAAACTTTTGTAATATTCAAAAATGGCAATTGAGCTGCACAATGCTGCAGGAATGTTTACCATATGTATTTACAACTTTTAAGAAAATGTATATTGTATACCTCATGTATTTCTTTTTATTTACATAATACAAGAAAAAGGTAACTCAAGGCCATGTATGGTCTTAGAAACCATACAATGTGATTGGATATGAATCAGCTTAGTTTTTTTAGCAAACATTGACAGTTATTGAAGTTTATGGGGTAAATAATGACAAGGTATGTTTTTTATACAAACTTAGGATATGTTGATATTTGTACATGCAGCATGTTGGAAATAATTGTGATGAAATTAGATAATTTACTTTACAGATAAAACTAGAGATGTGCCCTACACTATGCCTTATGCTTCTCAACAGACTGAGGTCTTACCTCAGGTAAGTTTCACAAAACATATAGATAATAGCAGTTAAGAGCTCATAAGTTTTAATATTACACGCAATTACAATTTTGCTGCTGTTCGAGATAGCTAATAACAGAAAACGATTAAAAAATACACATCATTTGATATATTAGTTATTTCTAATATTTCCAATACAATTACTTACCTCCATTCACAGTTATAGCTATTCTCAATTTGACTGCCCTCTAGTGTGCAAATGTTTGCTTGCCACTAGCTTTGAAACTCCCACCTAATTCTACATGTGTACCACATGCTTCAGCTGTATTTTAGCATGCAAATTAGCATGTGATAGTTCTCCACTAATAGGAATGCGACAACCCCTCCTATCACTGCTGACTCCTTCTATGCAGTTGAACTCATCTTCACTTCTCGATTTGGCATGACAGTGTTAAGACCTAGTTCTTGATTTCAAAATATTTTTCTTCTTCTTTAGTGTGTTTTGAAAATATTCATTTATGATTTTCACATTTAAAAGTATTGTTTATAATCCACTATCAAGTTGGATTTCTTTATATACAAATTCACAATTTAATATTGTGACTACAATGGCTGCTGAAGGTACTGGCATTCAACAGCCTGTGACAATGGCTGCAGGTGCAGTATTATTGGTGAAAGTGTTGGCTGTAATTCATATGGAAATGGCATCTTTCATGTGGGCTGAATAATCTCCTGATCTACAAGCCATTTGGCCATTACCTGAGGAATTAGATCAGGATGATGCAGGCTTGGACAGCCCCTTCCTTTGCTGTGCAAGCACATTATCATCCTGCTGAAGTCCCTAGACCTCAGTCACCATTTTTAGACTTGATATTACAGGTGTGTTGTGTTTTTGTCACCCGTGTCATTTGATCCCTCCCCTTCCTTATTAACTGCCAAATGTTTTGCAGATCAATTATGTATGGGGGTTAGTATACTTCAGAGGCTCATGCACTTGTATATCATCACCTAGCAAACCCTTGGGTCATTTGGGTTTTGTCAGAATGACTCTTCCTCATTTCCTCACATCTCCCACTTTATCCCCTGCCACAATTCCTTCACCTGCTTGTGGGAAACAGGATATTGGTCTCACAGAAGAGGTTCAAGACTTTCTCATCAAGAGCTATATCAAACAAGTTTCTCATGTGCTTCCAGGATTCTATTCCTGACTTTTTGTCATCTCCAAAAAGACCTGTTTATGGTGCCCTGTTTTTGATCTCTCCTATCTGAATCGCTTCCTTGATGTGCTTTGGTTCACCATGGAATTTTACCAGATGGAGCGAATTTATCCAGGGCTTAGGATGACAAGATTTGATGTGTGATGCTTATCTTCACATCCCTATTGCTTGGGCTTCTTGTTGTTATCTATGTTTCATCCACAAGGATCATGTTTATCAATTGAGCTCTTCCTTTTGGGCTGGCATCACCACCCTACGCTTCCTGTTGGGTGTCCGGTCATTTGCCCCATTTCTACATTTTTGCAAGCTCAATTTTCCATCTTTATATGTATGTCTAGCTTCTTCTGGCTCCATTCTTCACAGAGTTTTTCACAGGCACCCAACTTCTCATCAGAGAAGCTGCTCAAGGTGGAGAAGTCCATTATCCACTCCACCCAATATCTTGTTCTTCTCAAGGTGTTCTTCAACTCACATCTCAGTCAAGCTCAACCTTCTCCTCTTTGTCTGCAAGCCATGAAATTTTTAGTTCAGGGGGCACTATCAGTACCTTCTCTTTCAGCACGAGAGGTTCTGTCTCTTTTGAGAACTTGAGCATCACTGGAGGGTCTTATCTTGCTGTGCCATACTCACATGTATTCCTTGTAATGGGTACTACAAAGTCAATGGCACCTCATCAGGGACTCTCTACATTTACAAATATCCCTTCCTGATTCCCATCAGTCTGACTTCCGCTGATAGTTAGACAGGGACAACATGACAGTGGAGGTGCCTGTTCCTCCTCCCCATCTGGATATCCATATCTTCACAGATGCCTCATTCTTACATTGGAGTGGGTGCTGCAATACACTGGAGATCTTGTTCTGTTAGTCTCTCTTCACATCAACCATTTGGAACTCCTTGCTGTTTGTTGGGCATTGGTTCAATTTCTGTCATCTCTGCAGGGCATGACAATTATGTTTCATTCCAACAACTTGATGGTTGTCTCTTACATCACCTAACAAGGGACACCCAATCCCAGTCCTTATGTTCCCACACTTTAGATCTCCTCTACTGGGCTCACATCCATCAGATTTGTTTGCTGGCTTGTCACATACCGGATGCCCTCAATCTTATGTTGCAGTTCATATGTCCCGTCCCAACAAGATTCTACCCAAGGAGAGGTCTCTCAGTCCCCAAGTATTCAAATGGTTATGTTCTCAGTTGGATACACCCCAGCTGTATTCATTTTCCACACAATTGAATGCCAAACTTCCTTTCTTTTGGTCCCCAGTTACACATCCTTTGACCATGGATGTATTCAGCCAAGATTGGAAGGACCTTTTTACTTTATACATAACCACCTATCTGTCTTCTACCCCAAGTAATATCTATCATTCAATTCACTACATCTTGAGTCCTTCTTATGGCTCTTTTCAGGCTGGTTTCCATGGTTTCTGTCCCTTCTACAGGAACTACCTTCATTACCTCTCCCTCCTCTGGCAATCTCTCACAATAATGCTTCATCACTCCGTTCCCACACAGTGGCTTAATGGGTGATTTTTAATGGTCCTTTGTGAGGGGTTCAGGACTATTCACACATGTAGCATCTCTGTTGTCTCATTATGTCCACTTCTCATCCATCTCTGTATATCAACATGAGTGGAGAATGTCTTGTCACTGGTCTTTCAGGCATGGCTTCTCCCCTTTCTCAGATATCTGAATTTTTCATGGTTGCTTGTCATGTGTCCATCCATTTCAACCATTGTGGGGTTTAGGTTGCCCTGTCACCTCTATTACCCTTTCTTCCAGATCTCATATTTACTCCCGCTCTGATCCAGATTGCTTCCTGTTTCCAGTCCGTGCTTCAATGTGTTACGTGTCATGCACAGCACCCCTTTGTAGGTCACACTCCCTTTCTAATGAATCCTAAAAATAGTTCTGTGTTTTATCCCATCAGATCCATCACCTCCCAACATCCTTGGCTGCTTATTTCCATTATCTTTGGAGGAGATTATCCAGGCCGGCATGTGAACCACACCTCACACCTTTATGTTGTGCTACTTGCACCATCTGTCAGTTTCCTGCTCGGGCCAGATTTTGTCTTCCCCTGCAGCCATTCTCCATACGCCAGTACAATTTTGTTTGTTTCATTTTTTTCAGGGCCTACTTTAAACTTATGGATCTGTCTTTGTGGCAATTAGTCCATGTATACTGATATCCAAAATCCACACAGTGAGATCTATAAGGTCTGTCACTCTCACTGTTCAGATGGTGTGTTTCACAAGACCACTTGCAGGTTTTTCCTCATGGTATATTGCATCATGAGTATGTTTGTACCTGACCTTACACTCATGAACTAATATGAGTAAAGCAGAGAGAGATTGCTGCCCATCTCTAACATTCTTTAGATTGCCAGTATCGGGAACTGTCTGCTTTTCAAAATGAAGATTTTGGGTCAGCCATTGGACTTTTTCCAGTGTTGCTTTTCTATGGACTCTATGATGTGTCCCCCCCTTCTTGCAGGAGCCCTTACCACTTACCAGCTGCTGGGGTAGTGGATCTTGAAGGAATCCTCCTGAGTGTGCACAATTCTACTCAGAGTAGGATGGTGGCATTCTGTCTGTGTAGAAGGCATGACTATCCTCCCACTGTGGGTCTGAAGTTGTATTTCAGATGCTGCCAGTTTGGACTAGATTTTTCTGTCTATTTTGCAGTTCATCCCTCTGGCTGGAACCTTCCTACTGCTGCCTGGATGTCAGTTTCCTGGTGACTGGTTTTGGTTGGAGCTGGACCAACCAACATAAGTCCTCATATGTGAGTGGGCTTGGAACTTCCTCTTAGTTTGTACTTGATGTTACATCACCAACGTCATTTAGTTTTGGACTGGAATTGACCCTCCCCATTGCATTTCCAACTTCCTGACATCATCTGTATGTACATTCTCTCAGTTTTTTGCTGCAGATTTTGCTGGATTTCCTCACATGGAGGTTTAGGTTTACGGAACGGAGGCCCATTTTCCCTTCTGGTTCCTAGACCTGAGGTGAATGGGTGAGGACCCTCCACCTACTATGGACCAGTCGAATTTCTCCCAGTGCCATTGGTCTGGACTGGAGTTAACCTTCTGCTTATAGTCCAGTGCACCTTAGCCATTTACACACATTCCTCCTCCTCAGGGATTTGGAATTGTTACCTTGTTCTGCCCTTTGATTGTGACACCACACCTGTTGGCTCCACATGGGCAAAGAGTATACCTGGTTCAGATGTGGTGTGGTCTCCCATGAGTGTGTTTCCTCTCCATAAAAGAGCACATTTCATGGGTGCTCATCTAGGTACTTTTGCACTGGTCCCTCCACATGATCAGTATGGGATTATAGCTGTAAATGTGAGAAGAGAGAAGTAATCTTGTTGGAAGTTAATATTTTTCTCCACAGAAAATATATTTCTGATAGATGCATTCCTTTACATTGTCATTTTTCATGCCTAATCTCAAAGTGAAGATTGGGTGCAACTGCATAGAGGAAGTCAGTTGCGATAGGAGGGTTTGTCGTACTCCTGTTGGTGGAGGACTGTTGCATGCTAATTTGCATGCTTTAATGCAGCTGTACCATGTGGTATACACGTGGAAATAGGTGGGAGTTTCAAGGCTAGTGGTGAGCAAAAATTTGCACACCAGAAGGCAGTAAAATTGAGAATAGTTGTAACTGTGAGAAGTGATATCTATCAGTAATATATTTTCAGTGTAGGAAAATATTAACTTTTATACATCCTTATATTTGTTTATTTTTTGTTTGACTTTTTTAAGACTTAAAGAAGCATTTATTGAAACAATACAATTAGAGGTGAGTTTGATCTATTACTTATGAGCAGCAATTACATCAGTTAGTGCCATGTAAACTAATTAATTAATCAAAGTTAATGCTTCTGATTGTTACTGCTTTTGATTAATTGAATGATCGATTAAATTGATTTGCACAAAAATAATCAACTAATCAAAATTAATGTTTCTGATTATTACTTTTTCAGTTATTCTAACTGTCCAATAACTCAACTTCTAATTAAATCAATTGTGATTGCAGTTTCTGATTAGTACAGTTTTTGATTATTCCAACTTTCCAAGTATTCAAAATATCGGTATTATATTATGAAACACAAAGCTACATGATGGGTTATCTGTGTGCTCCGTTCAATTTTAGCTTTTTCAATTTTTGGTTTACTTCAAGTTTGTTTTAATTATGGGGGGGGGGGGTCTTGCTGAATAGAAGGAAGGCAACTGCAAACTTCTTTTTTTTTTCTTATTGAACTGCTGACTTCTTTTTCTATGTATCATTTGTTCAGGAACACTACTGGTTGATTAATCATATGTAGTCAGTTAATGGAGTAATCAATTACTTGATTAGCAACAATCACAATATTTGCCCCGCCTCTAAATACAATTATGTTTTTTATTATTATTAATTTAAGGTATAATCAATAAAAGTTAGTGAGCTAAGCTTGTTCCTTGAAACTTATTAAGATGAAATTTTTCTCTGGATCAACTTTTAACCAGGGGTAAAATTCTAAAAAAAAAGTACGGGTACTTAGCTGGGTGAAGTGGACCTGTTTTTAAAAAGAGAAAAAAATCTACATGTAAATGTAAAAAATGACAAAACAACTCAAATAAGTTCTGGTACTAGTACTGCCTTGAAAATAAGTCCTGGTACTAGTACTACCTTGAAAATAAGTTCTGGTACTCAGTATCTGTGAGTACTGGCAGAATTTCACTACTGCTTTTAACAGTACTTTTTTAGTGTTTGAAGGATCTAACTGTGAACGTATATAAACATATTTTAAATTTGTAGGTTTATATAATTTACAAAAGTTTTTCTGTTTCAGTTCAAATCATTTCAATCAGTTTGTGAATTTTACTAGTGCCAAGACCAGTTTGTGATTTTTTTTTTAATGCAGTAAGTTGCTTATAGCCTAGTTTCCTACTACTACTCTTAAGTGCTTCATCTTTAATGATTATATCTGTAAGGTTCTTGGATATTCAGAGCCTAATGTAGTAGGTTTATGTTTCAGTGAATTACTGTACTCCTAGAAGTTTTTAAAACAAATTAACAAAGAGGAGAAACTATTTTTTACTATGCTGGAGTCCAGTGGTTTCTGGCTTTTATTAGATTGAAGCCCAGTTCTCACTTATTTTGCTTGCTCCAGACCCACATCTTAAAGGCAGTACAGATTTAACAGAAAAAATAAAAGTGTTTAAGACATACCCTTTAAGAGAAATAGGCCATTTTCAATGCTATGCTATAAAAAATTGCAGTTTCTTACCAATTAATGAGAATCATGCTCTCGCTTGAGCTTATATTTTATCTCAGTGATGAACTATGAATAATTTCTTCTGCCAGTGGGTGTTGTTGGACTACTCACTACTTTCTGTTATATAACAATATATATATACAGAGGGTTAAATACATTGCATTAAATCAGCAAGTTACATAACAACCACACCAGATGTATATAAAGTCAAGGTGGAATAACATATATCAGAACAACATTTTAACATTATTTAGCATTATACAAGTAGTTTGATGCTATTGAAAATTTGGTCACTTTTAAGAAAGGCATGTAACAACCCTTTCTGAGGCAAAATATTCATACATTCAGATAATAAAAATTAGTTCAGGTTGTACTTATAACTTCTAAGATGGGGATATCCATTGTGTTTTGTAGCATTGGAATAAAAAGAAAAAAATGAATCAATTTGTGGCACCTGACCATCCAGAAAGAAACTTGCAACAAGTCTTGGTATGCAAAGTGTGCCATCTTGTAACAAGTGAGAATCCACAAACACACAGCTCAGTTGAAAAAACCTGTCCATGTGTTCTAGGCAATAGTACACAACATAATCAAAAAGAATCTCCATCTGGAAAATTGATACACCCAGGAAAAGAAGACCAACCATAGAAAACTGTATGAATGGTACCTAGCTCAGTTAAAATGGCAGTACATGGGGACACTAGAGGAAGTGTATGTATCTTGATAACTGTAACAAGTCTCATGCCATTTTCAACTTTTCTATGGTGGAAAATGTTTCACAAAAGTGGTACATGACATTGTCATCACAAGGTACTGCACAAGGAACAAGTTGAGGATCAATAGAGTGTATGCAAACATCCAGGTGAACTCTATTGACTATCCAATCAACGTTCTTGACCCGTTTTTACCACACAGAATTGCCAGCTGTATATGAAAATGTGTGTTTATCAAGATAAGGCTTCTAGTGATATCTCCTTCTCAAGTGTGCATATTTCAAACGTTTTGAGAATGAAATGGATGTTTATGCTATTGCATATGAAGACATACTGGTCAAGTTGCCATACACAGAACTTATGAATTTCTTTGTGACTTGATTTTTGAAATGGGCACTGAGAAAGCAATGTCACCATATACTAAATGAATTATGGAAAGCAGCTGGGAAAAATTGTGTGCTTTGAACATGAAAGTCTCAGTTAAATTGACACTATGCTGCAGGGCTATTGTCTAGATGCATGGTCATCAGATGTTAGAACTTGGAAAAATGGACTGTAATGACATGATGAGGCTCAAAAATCATTTTAACATAAGGAAGTCAACTCTTTGAATGTAAGTTTAAATCACATAACATTTTATTTTATATTAACAAAATAGCCTATTAATTTTGCAAATACGTTTACGATATGATTTTGTAAGTTCCTCATAACCTGGAGCAAATTTAGGAGAGTCCAAATACTGGCAAATACAGGCTGGGATTGAATTTTTGGTTTTGTTTTGGTTTGCTTTGACATGTAGTTGTTAAATACTAATCGATGTCAGTGGAGAAAAATGTATAATAAGTGTCGTATAAAGCAACTTAAGGTTTTGAAAGTTTTTGGAGCCTTGCACGTGCGTGTGTGTGTGTTGCTATTTCTTCAGGTAAGCAATGAAAATTAAATAGATTATTTAATTCAAATCATTTCTAAGTGAGTATATGTACTGGTTAAAAGATAGATCATCTTATTTCAGGATTGTGTTAGTCTTTCTGGGAATGAAGCCATCCCAAACACAGATGCCACCTACTTCCAGTTCAGTGGTTTGCCACGGCAAAGGATTCTGACCATTGATGGAAATAGGACAAGTATTTGTTTTTGCTTAGAAAAATCATTTCAAAAGAGCTTTGCATTTTTTTCTAGTATTTTGTGTGTATTGATACATCAGTTTTGGACTTGGTATATACAGCTGTCTAATTGTTCATTTTACATTATTTTATTGATGACCCTCTCCTTGTTGAAAACTTAAGCTGTAAACCTGGCCTAGTAGTGTAAGTACTAAATTTTTTAAATTATTTATTCAATATAAAGACAAGCATTGTGTATTAATATATGTAATATATATATATATAAGTAGAAAATTCAGTAAAATTTTAATGATATTCGAGAACATGAAGCTTAGATAACAGTGAGAAAGAGTGAGCAGTAGAATTAACACAAATGAATCATGAAGTAAACTAAAGAATATAATCAAAATATTAAAAATTAGTAAACAGTAGGGTAAACATATTTATACATAAGAAATGCAAACTGAAAAATAAAGTGCTAATACATCAGGCATAATTTAATCTTAAATTGTTGTACGTGAAAGTGTATCATATACATAACTTAGTATGAAACTTGTGAAAAGCTGAAAATAAGATTAATACTATTCCATTGATTTCTCCCTTCAAATTTTTGTAGTAATACCATATTAAAACGAAACTTATTCTTCGTTTAAAATAACTGTTCTTAGATTTTTATGTGATCAAACTAGCAGAAATTCTTATCACAGTGTATTTGATAGATTATATGTATAAATCAATGAAAACAAATTTACTTTGGTCCTAGAAAAACAAAAATGGTACAAATAATGAGTCTGATGGTTAATAAGTTAACAATTTCCATTAATTGCCCAGCTCTAACCATTTCTCACACTCGTGCCAATGGAATTAGTATTCAAGCTTTCATGTCATTATTCATTGGTGAAAGAGTAGCCTAAGAGTTGGCAGTGGGTACTGCCAATCAATTGCCTTCTGGTCAGTAGTTCAAAATTAAAATTGGTAGCAGAAAAAAGTCTTAATAGCTTTGCCGTTATTCAAAAATAAACAAACAAATATAATGTACTAATGGCTGAAATGGCAAACTTGGTTGGTGGCAATATGGATCAAATCCTCAAATCACAAGGCAACTTTCTTAATTACTAGGCCTTGCCAACCAGAAGCAGAAAGAATTTTAACTAATCAAAAATATAATATTGCAAAAATTATAATGGCAATATTTCGATTACTTGGATAGGTGGAATAATCAAAAACAGTAATAATCAGAAACACTAATTTCAATTAATTAATTATTTTACATGGCACTAATAAATTAATCGAGTTAATCATCCCACTCTTGTAATTATTATGGTTTCCAACTGCCTAAATATAACAACTAGATAAAATTTGAAGTACCTTATGGCTTTCCACCAGATGCTGTTTGCAGTGTATTTTTATTATTACTTACTGAAAAAATAATTTATTTGAGAATTGCTCTGCTGTAGTACTATATCAGTGAGAACTGCAATTCACTGAAATTTAGCTCTTGCTCTGTATAGTTTATTGATTTTTGCAATCGGGTATATAGACTTTTTTTCTCACCACATTGTTTTACTATTTTCTAGTATTTTTGTTTCCTTCCATTTAGTTTTGCTGGCCTATGGTTACTTAATGTTTCACTATTGCAAATATTTTTGTTTTCTTCCATTTAGTTTTGCTGGCCTATAGTTACTTCATGTTTCACTATTGCAAATATTTTTGTTTCCTTCCATTTAGTTTTATTGGCCTATGGTTACTTCATGTTTCACTGTTGCAAATATTTTTGTTTTCCTTTAGAATATTTGTTGTCTTTCTTTTATTCAACTGCACAGATTTCTCCTCCTTTCTCTCTTGTGGTTCACTGTGCATCTTAACTTTGATTTGTATATGTTATTCTTCTGTGTTTTGTAGATCTGGGTGACTTATTTTACTGGAAATTGTTCTCTTGTAGAAATTGAATTATTGACTCATATGTTGGAGATATTAACTTGATGATTAAAAGATAAGATAAAACAGTTTTCCAGTTTTTCCAACATCGTGATGTTTCCTTGTTGTTTGGTAAACTGCAACAGATAATGTGCTTGCTTTACCCACATCTACAAACAAGATGATTTGTTACTCTTTCTTGACCTAGAAATGATTAAGCTTGTCTGTTGGATTGTTCCATTTGTAGTAACTTTCTACATTTGCATGATTAAAATACTGTTATGCTCAGTTATTAAAAATCTGATACCTTTAAATGAGTTAAATACCTCCTACTTTTCTTTTGTTTTTTTTTTACTTTCTTTTTCTTTTATTAAATTTGGCAACTTGATGTTTATCTTACATTCCTGTAGTTATGGTATAAGGTTTGTTACACTTTTTTTCTGATTTACTAGGTAGAAAATGAGTGTTTGTCAGAGTATTTTTTGTCAAATAATGATAGGAACCATTACTAGGTACCTGTTTCATATATACGTGGGCTGGGCATGGCCTAATGGCTAGTTTGCTCATACAGGGGATCTGGGAGATCATGATTTGCAGCCCATTTCCTCAAAAAACGTGCTCTGCACTTTGTGGCCATGTGTGGACTATAAGAGTGACAGTCAAATCTGACTATTCAATGAAATAAACATACCCCAAGAAGTGGCAGTGAGGGTTGTTAATTAGCAGTTTTTCCTTTAGTCTGTCATTTCAAAATTAGGGACAGCTGTGCAGAGCTAGTCCTTTATGTAACTTTGTGGAAAAAAATGTCAAACAGTATATGCTCGTAGTAATGATGAATATTATGAATTACAAATTTAAATAATTTACTATTATTATTTTTAATTTAAATATTTCCCTCTTACAGATGGTACAAACAAAAGAAAGAGAGATGTAAGTATGTTTATTGTTAATACATTTTTATACTATAGTCTGTAAACTTTTGTAAACTAGCTTTTATTTTGTTTATTCTGAAAGCTATTGCATCTCTTAAGTCAATTTTTCTAGTAAATCCTTTTGTCAGAGAATCATTGTTTGCCTGAAGATGATGAAAAAAATTTCCTCCAGTAGACATATGATCATCATAAAACTGTTTGATTATATATGGTTAAAAACCATTTAGAAAATGGTATGTCATCAGTAATTGTGGTCATGCTTGTGTGTATTAATGATATTATGTTTTGTCAGGAATTGATGATTGATTTATTAATTTTTTTTGTTGTTATATTTTCTGATGGAGTAATATTTTTTTGTAATTTATGATTTTTCTGTGAATTTTAAGAAAAAAAAAGTACATATTCTTTATAAGAATTATTAAATGCTGCTAATTTTGAGAAAATGGTTTGGTTTCAAACATTTTAAGTGAAGACATTCGGTCATTCTGAAAACGTAACAGATGTAGAACTCATCAAGTTTAGTTATAGTTGTTTAGCTATGAAAAAAACTCAAATCCAACTATACCAAGCTCTAATTATCTCATTTTTAAGAACCTTTTAAAGTTAAAGCTATCTGATAAAATCTTTTGAAATTTTCAGTAAAAGGATTATTTAAGAGTTTATAAGTTTAAGTTTAGTGAAACCTAAAGAGCCATATGTGTGTAAATAAATGTTTGTGGGTTTTCCAGCACAGAAAGCCCATTATGTAGCTGTTTGCTTTATAACAAGTAATATTTTGTGAATTTGCTGAATTTCTTGAAATTCCAAGAAGCAAAGGACAATATAGGACAGTTGAACCATGAATATCTATGATTTCCATTTGTAGCAAAATGCTAAGCATGTTTATTAGACAAGTTTTGATATTCCTTGTATTTTTAAAATTTGAATTGTATTTCATAGGTAATGGAAAATGAAGATATAGCCATTCAGTGGGTAAGTCTTATGTTGTTTTTGTCATGAGGTTGGGCAACATACCCAAAAAAACAAATATTTCTCCTAAGATAAAAGTGACATTGAATTTCCTTTGTAATGACTGAATCATTTGGCCAACAATAACCAATTAATGTTTGGAAAAACCACTTAATGTTCCAGTTGTAGTTACTACATAAATAATTCTGCTTCAGTAATAAGAGGATATTATTTTTTCTTAAGAGTTCAGTAAAAATGAAATCTGTTACAGAATGCGATAGTTTAGAGGGGTTTAGGATATAAAAGGAAGTTGTTTTGCAACATTTTAACTTTTCCTGATACTAGATTCATTTGTGTAATTTCTTAAGTGTGTTATAAAATATTTGCTCTATCAAAACTTTTAGTACAATATTGAAAGGTTTTAGAACTCCTGTTGTATGTTTATTTTTAGTAAACATAAAATCCATAATTTCATGACAATTTTTGCTATTATATATCAAATGAGTGCCATGACAACGTGTCCGGTGAGAATGAGAAATCTGTTCACGAATTACATTATTAAATGTAAATTGAGAGAAAACAATTAATTATACACCTTAAAAAATCAGAGATAAAAAAGAGAAAATTTAAAAACTGGGTTTAAACAACCACTAAACTCAAATTCAGTGTATACTGAGATAACTAGTCTTAGTTGATAGCACTGCAAACTAAAAAAAATGGTTGGATTAGCTTGGTTCTGGTTGAAATATATTGAAGAAAAGGTGTAGCAGATGTGGCACAACTTTATTGATTGTACTGAATTTGAAATATCATTAAGTTTAAATTTTCTTCTGTACAGAAATGTATTCATTGTATGGCATAATCCTTTGTAAAACAGACAAGAAACGGCAATCCTCAGATGCAGTTAAACTCAATGATAATGTTTTTATCAGTTTTTTTTTTTTTTTTGTAGTGTACTGATCATCTTTCAAGTACCCACAGATCAATTTGCTTTTTATTTAGATTTATTAACCTTTCATTGAAAAACACATCAATTTTGGCTTTTGTGATTATTGTGAGATGTTTCAGGGGCTTTTTATATCAACCTTCTAACATGAAAACCAACTGCTAATCACATATTTTTATAGATTTTCACTTCAAAAATATGAATCATTTACATCATGTGTTTCCTTTGTTTTTATAAATGCTTCATCAATAAATAAAGTTCCTCCCTCATATTTCAGTGATATGTTTTTTTTCATTCATTATTCTTGGTGAAGGTAAATAATGAATGTGTGAGATATGAAAGTATTGAATTTAAATGGCTATACCTGGACTCTGTCAAAAGATACACACACACACACATATATATATATATATATTTAGAAGAAAACATGAACATTATTGCCATAATCAGTTAGCAGTTGGGAAATTAGTGGAGCTTTCAACAATAAAAAAATATCAGTCAGTGCTTCTACCACTTAATACTGTATGTAAATCACCTTTTAAATAGCTTGTTTTTTGAAATCTACACCATAGCATTTATCTACAAGTGGATGGCAGACGTTACCACAAAACTCATTGTTGACATATGGGCTTAAAGCCATATGTTTTCTCTCTCAAGCAAAGTTTAGTTCATTACAAATCAGTTATTAATATCATACAGAACTTGCCACACTTTTCAAGTTCTTCTTATTAAATTAAGATTGTATATTTTACAGTACTTACCTTTTAGAGTTTGAAATGTTATAATTTTAAACTATTTAAAACATCATTTGTCATTCATATAGTATAAACGTTTGTACTTGAAACTAACCATTGATTTGCCTTTATCTGCTGTATGCAGTATTTGATGTACAGACATTAACCATGTTGTGCAAGACATGTAAATGATAGTCTATACATGAGGTTTTTTTTTCTAGAATGTTTAATTTGTGTACCTAATTGTTAAAAAGAAATTACTACACTAATAGTACTCATTCAAGAGAATAATACAGTTATTGTTTTGCAAATTAATAGTATCTTGAGAAGCCCATAACTATGTATTTATTTCAGAAATACAGAATATCTTATTTCTTAAAATTGATATAAAAAATTTAAACTGGTAGTCTTCATCAGTACTGTAAAATAACCTGGGTGTTATTTTCGTATGTGGTTTAGATGGTCTTTAACTAACCTATATTCATGTAAAAAGCAAATCTTTCTCACTGATCTAGGTAAGTTTCCCATCAAACTAGTCAACTAACAAATACACTCAACCATTACCATCTGCTTTTGGTCCCTAGTTAAATAGTTTAAAAGTTATTTGTGTGAAATATCATATCAAATGAAAATAATACTGAATTTTAATTAAAATTATCTCTACATAAAGAATGTGAATATTGGTGTTATAAATGGAATAAGAAATATCTTGGGGTTGTTTGTTTAAGCAGTTTTACATGAAATTGCATTTTATGAAATCTTTTAGCTTTTCATAATTCTTGCACTTGCCAGTAGAAACAGACATCATGACATAAGTATCCAGTTACTGAAGATTACTTAATATTACCATTACAAGGTTTTAATAGGCTCATCACGGTGAATTTTCATTACCATAAATACAAAGAACTTATTTTCTCAATGTTATACATCAAGATTCATGTTTTTTTTTAAATGTCCTATTGATGGTATCTTAAGTATTAATTCATGAAATCACAAATTAACACCTATAAATTTAATTAATTAAAGTTCTTTTAGTTTATTGCTTATACTTTATTTTGATGTTTCAAGATCATTTAATAGAGTCTGTTACCAGAAAGAACTTATACTTTATTTTGATGTTTTAAGATCATTTAATAGAGTCTGTTACCAGGAAAGAACAGTTTTATTGCAGTATATTTCCGTTTTTGTAAGTGAAATGTTATTCTATAATCATGTTATTGTGAATGAAGTATAGTTCAAGTTAAAACATATAAATTTTAAATATCAAAGTTTTAAAAAAATTTTAAACATGTTCTTAATTTAGCATGTTGATTTAAAGATAAAATTTTCATCGTCAAATATTAACACATTTCCATTAACGACATTCACAATTATCATACTTGTGAAGTAGCGTGCTATCCCCTTCATTGTGAATGTGCTGTTCAGTAAAACGTTGATAGACCTTAGTTTTCATTCCCGTATTCTATTTTTAACATTTATGAGCACGAAATCATTTGAATTTATTGCACTTTCAAAATGATAAATTATTATAAATTTGCTACGAATTATTTATAACTTTTAAAACTGAAATAGCTGTTCATAACAATAGTATAGACTAATTTTTTTTTTATCTTAACAAAATTAAACTTTACTACAAATATTTATACTAGAATAAAAATACCAAAATCTTAATACATTTATGTCAGAAATCGTATTGTTGTTGTTAGTTTAGAACAGATCCGTATAAGCGTTATTACTGCATTTTCCACTCTTTCCAATTATCATTATTTATTTTCATAATATTTGACGAGGGCCTCTTGTCTACCCTGAAATATGAGAATGGTATGTACTATGTAACATCCAACTTGGGTATGCTAGTTTAGCCGTGCGAGAAACCAGCGGGAATTGGGTTTACGAGTGCAGTGGCAGCGATTACAAACTCTACGGCAGGACAGGATCGCAAGTCATAACGTTAGGTAGATTCGGAAGTATGTTGCAATAAACTGTCGGCAAAACGACGTCCCCGTTTTGGAAATTGTGAGTGAGTTCTTGAGTGAAATAGTTCGGGCTCTACATGATGCACGACGGGTTCCGGTTAAATAACCCAGGCGTTTGTTTTAAGTACCATATATATTCTCAAACTAAGAAGTATATATGATTTTACATCTTGTTTTCATTATAGAGTTGATGCAGCTTCATAACTAATGATAATGTTTCCATTTTCTTCTGTTAAAACAGGAACGGCGTCTATATGTATATATACATATATATATATATATATTCCACACTGGAAATATCTTGCCGGTAGACGCTTTGTAACAGCTGTGGTTAAAAATCACGGTGTGGTCCAAGCCCAAACTTATTAGAAAAGAAACAACAGAAACCCCGTTGAATTAAAATATTTATCACCAAGTTATTATTTGAGGATATAAGGAAAACTTAAGAATGTATGATAATGGGCTATAATACAAGTTCAGTAATGGTTAACGAGAGTCTTCAATTAATGAAACTGATAAGCATTTTTAGAACAGTGATTTTCCAACCATGAAATATTACAATATTAAACAGGTAATCAAATTGTTTTGTTGCTGAGCCCAAAGTTACACAATGAGCTATCTGTGCTCTGCCCACCACCGATTTATTTGGCTTCATAATCCCTAAGACTTAACTACTGGGCCACCATCTGGAGCCTGTAAACTTCAGTATTTTTATTTTTTGCATGATCGAAACCCGGCCCGAACATACCTGTCATTTCAGCCTTAGAGATGTTATAATTGACGAACAATCCCGCTATTCATAAGTAAAGAGTTGTCCTTGGGTGCTACCAGCTGGATGCCTTCCCTGTGGCCAGCAGCTTGAAAGTAGGAACAATGGCTAATAGCCGTAGTAGCTTTGCAATAAACACATTTTCATTTTGTGCAATGGTGTGTAATGTGTTTGTACAAAAACTGATTAATGTAGGTTGATTTTGAAACACTCAGAAGATTACACAGTTACATATTCATTACATTATCATGTGCATGTTTATTAGATACAATTTTCTAGCCTATGAATGTATACATTATTTACTAATATATTGGTTCGGGGAATGGTTCAGGTAGACTAAGATTTGTGTCCTTTCATCGTAACATGTAGAACAACACTGTGTTCAATATTAGCTTTAAAATCTACTTAAAAGTAGGGATTTCAACTAGTCTTGTTTGAATACCCAAAGAATAATAATAGATGATTTGTCAACTAACCTCATTTGAATACACAAAAAATGATAATAGATGATTTATCAACTAACCTCATTTGAATACCATAGAATGATAATAGATGATTTATCAACTAACCTCATTTGAATACCATAGAATGATAATAGA